ATGACAGAAGAGTTGTATTGTAAAATCGTCGATATAATAATTTTGTAATTTTTGTAATAGAATAATAACATAGCACAATAATGTTTTTTAGCAATAATGAAAAAGGTAGTAAAAAGGCCTTAGGAGGCCCATATCACACCACTCACGTCTCACGCTAACAAAACGGTGGCCCTTCGAAACCCTTCTTCTTCCTCCGTCTTCTTCTTCTCCACCATGGAAGCTGTTGTGGTTATGAAACTCCCTTCTTTCAAATCTCTCGCTCCTAATGCCATCTCCATCGCTTCCGGTCACCGGAGCTTCTCCCGCGTTCGTCGCTCCTCTTCCCTATCCGTCGCCTCTTCCTCCGCCACCATCGCCACCGATTCCGAACCCGTCTCTCTCGGCCATAGCACTCGAAAAGATTTCCGAATTCTTCACCAGGTTTTTCTCCACTCTTACAGATTCCTCTGTTTCTGTGGTAGTTTTCATCAATCAAATTGTACGAATCAGTGTGAATTGAGAATTGTAACTAGCTCTTACTGAAGTAATCGTTAATTGAGTGTTTCAGGAAGTGAATGGGTCTAAGCTTGTGTACTTAGATAACGCTGCAACTTCTCAGAAGCCTGCAGCTGTATTGGACGCTTTACAGAATTACTACGAGTTCTATAATTCAAATGTTCATCGAGGAATCCACTATTTAAGGTGTTTTTTTCTTAAAAAGATTTATCTGTTAATGAGTATTAGGATTTGATCATCTAGTTGATAAAGGTTCTTAATCCATTTTCTATTGTAGTGCCAAGGCTACAGATGAATTTGAGTTGGCTAGGAAAAAAGTAGCTCGTTTCATCAATGCTTCGGATAGTAGAGAGATTGTTTTCACAAGGAATGCAACTGAAGCCATCAATCTTGTAGCTTATTCATGGGGTCTTTCAAACTTGAAACCAGGAGACGAGGTGTGTGCCTTTGGTTTTTCAGTCCATCTGCTTTCTGCACACTTGAAGTCTTTTGTTTCACTGTCAAAGTTTTTTCTTTTGTTCCTTTTACCTATGGCAAGTGAGATTGTGAATAATGCTAGCTTTTCAGGTTATACTTACTGTTGCCGAACATCATAGTTGCATTGTTCCTTGGCAAATAGTATCTCAAAAGACTGGAGCAGTTCTAAAGTTCGTGACATTGAATGATGATGAAGTCCCAGACATAGACATGTTGAGAGAAATGATTTCTTCAAAGACAAAACTTGTGGCTGTTCATCATGTATCAAATGTTCTCGGTAGATTCCTTTTCCATGTTCTCATTGTAGTCTATTTGTTTAGCGTGTACAAAGTAAACGGGATTACGTAAGTATCTTACTTTTTTTCTTCGTTCTGTTTAGCATCTTCTCTTCCTATTGAAGAGATTGTGGTGTGGGCACACGATGTTGGAGCAAAAGTTCTTGTGGATGCTTGTCAAAGTGTTCCCCACATGGTGGTTGATGTCCAGAAGCTAAATGCTGATTTCCTAGTTGCATCTTCTCACAAGGTTGGAATTGTTACTTTTCTTCCTGAGATACTTAATAAGCCTTGTGGCATGCTTATAGTTAAAAAATGATATGTTGACAAAAAAAAAAGTTAAAAAATGATAATCATGCTTCAGATGTGTGGACCTACAGGCATTGGGTTCTTATATGGTAAGAGTGATCTTCTACTCGCCATGCCTCCATTCTTAGGTAAGCCATCTATCGTATATATTTCAAAGGCAACAACCATCATATCTGCTTAATCATTCAAAGATGGGACTGGATTGAGTCCCGCATCAATATTCTTTTTGTTTCCATTCTGATTTAGGTGGCGGAGAAATGATCTCAGATGTATTTCTTGATCATTCAACTTATGCGGAACCACCATCCAGGTTGGGGTTCTACTTTGATTAGTTACTGATTTCCATATTTGCTGCAGTTTGGAAATAAGTAGATTCATTTTTGTACTAGATTTGAAGCTGGAACACCTGCAATAGGAGAAACAATTGCCCTTGGAGCAGCAGTTGATTACTTGTCGGGAATTGGCATGACCAAAATCCATGAATATGAGGTTTGATATGATTTTCCTACAACTAGGCGTCAATGACCGTAATGTAATACTAGTACTACATACAGTGTTTTTTTCAGTCACTAAGACGCACTTGTTTTCCCGGAGGACTGTAGCTAAGATGTTATGATTTTCATATGTTCTCTGACAGTAGTTTATAATTTCTTGTGTCATCCAGGTAGAGCTTAGTAAGTATTTGTACGAGAAACTGTCTTCCCTGCCAAATGTCCGGATATACGGCCCCAGGCCTTCTGAAAACGTTCATAGGGCTGCTCTTTGTTCCTTCAATGTGGAGGGCTTGCACCCAACTGATTTGGCAACCTTTCTTGATCAGCAGGTATGTTATAATTGGGAGCTATCTATCCCATCAGGTGCTGGTTTTCTCTCATCTTGATCTTTCTAATGTTGATCATCAACCTCGAATCCGTTAAACATTGAGGTTCTTGATCATCTTGAATTATCTTATTGATGTATAGTCTGCACTCTCATCAGAACATCCATAGTAAGATGAAAAACTGAAGCAAACATTGTATGTTGCAGCATGGAGTTGCGATAAGGTCAGGACACCACTGCGCACAGCCACTCCATCGGTATCTTGGAGTGAATGCAAGTGCGCGCGCCAGCCTCTACTTTTACAACACGAAGGAAGACGTTGACTCTTTCATCGTTGCGCTTGCAGACACCGTGAGCTTCTTCGATTCTTTCAAGTAAAGTGGAATACCTTCCTGCTGGATATCTCAGGTGGTTATGTGGTATATTTACTTGGCTATTTATAGGTTGTTGGGTTCTTCAAGCTCCAAGGGCGATTGTGTTGTAGTTAACACTTTGTAATCTTATTACTTGAAAATTAGAATAATCGGGAATGTTGTTCAATGGTAGAGACTAGAGAGCCCTCTATCAACAACTTCTAGTGGTGTAATTCTATAAATTCTTCGAATTAAAAAGAGAGAAGTTGAAAGATACGCTAAATATTGCGGAGAGATTTGAATGTTATAAGACTACTAATCATTATAAAGCTCTGTTTTTAGTCTGCATCCATCTCCTCGAGTGCTGTTTTCGCTGCTGTCTTTGCTTCTTCTAAGAGAGCCTCCGGGACCTTCTGATGCTCTCGTTTGGACTCCTCACATATCCAACTCATCTCCAACTCAAAGGCTTTGTCTTTCGCTTCATCGTGTAGCTTGTAGATGCTGCAAAGTCAAAAGTTCTTAATTACATCCAAACAAAAGCATCAATCTCTGTATGGAAACAGAAGGATAACATATGGAACACTTACATTTTAGCCACCTCAATTACGCCTTCTCTGCATGTCATCTCAGAAAGTTTCAACTTCTCTATTTCCCTGCAAATTATCAGCAAATCCTCTATTATAGATTTCTGACGTATGTTTAAGCTCCACATGAACTATAAATATCTTAGGAACAACTTACGTTTTAGCAGCTTGCTTTCCTTTCCCAATTGCTGCACCAAAATACCTCTGGATAGAAAAGAATCCATATGAGAATATCGAGCAGAATGATTTTGATGATTAGACTTCAAAGGAATCTTATTTACAGAAGAAGATAATATGGGAAGAAATAACTTACATAAGATATGCCTGACGGCTCAATCATGTACAATTGCGGTCCGCCTCTATCATAGCCTCCAAGAATGACCCCACACCCAAAAGGCCTTTAAGAAATATCACCAGGAAATTCAGTAAAGAAAGGCGAAGGAGAAATGCTTGAGTGATAATGACAGCAGTAGAGGAATTGCCAAACCTGAGCCACCAATAGAGGGTACACAAATGTACGTAACTCGCAACACGTTCAGAAAGCTCCTTCACAGGTACAGCTTCGCCATAGACACTACATTATCACACGACAAAGGGACAGAGTTTTATCCAAAAAAAAAAAGGGACAGAGTCTCACAATTAGTAAGAGATTACTTATGCCTAGACACTATAAATATTGACATCACAAGAGCATAAATATTCATAGTTTTCAACCAGCCAACATGTCGACACGTTTAGACCTTCATTCTAAGAGAAATCTCCTATGTGTAAGGTTATAATAGGACTAGAAGTCTATAACGGTCGTTTTTAGGGTAACAAATTAAGACTCAGCAACTGCAGGAAGAAGCTAACAAGATTTCCAAGCTCAAATACTGATGCCAATTACATAGAAAGAAAGTTTCCCAGAAGTTTCAATAACACAAATGTTAAAAAATGCATCCTTTAGTTGGTACCTCTCATAACTTCTCGCTTCTGATTTACCCCTTGCAACAATCTGCCTTCCATCAGCGGCTAGTCCAGCAACAGCCTGACAAAAGTATTATAGAAATTAGTATAAGCTGACTTCTGACTATGAAACACAATCATTACAGAGAAACTAAAACTTGCTATGGGCTAGAAGAGCATACCATGCCAGCATGACGATGAACAGAGTGGATTCTTCGGTTTGAACCCGGTAGCATCATCTTCGACGCAATAAGCTTCTCCACACCCTAAAAGTTCAAGGTAAAAGCTTTTTGAGACAATTCCTTTATCAAAGCCAGTACTATTACCAAGGATCTCACATCCTTTATTACAAACTAGATCATTCATTACAAAGAAACAACATTTGTCCTACAAACCCATATTTGGAAAATTTCATTGATCTAGGAAACTAAATAGAAAATCGTAACAAGTAGGAATGATAGAAATAAGAGAGGAAGAGAAGAATCGCACCATTACAATCCCGTCTTTGCACTTGATTCCAACTACAGTTCTGCGCGATAAACCAAAATAAACGAAAACAATCTAAAAAAATCGTACAACAGTAACAGAAAGAAATCGACAAGGATGAATCGAAGAACAAACCCACTGTTGTCGACAGCTTTAGCGGCGTACTCAATCTGGAAGACGCGACCATCGGGAGAGAAAGTGGTAACGGAAAGATCATACCCAGTTCCAATGCTACTCATA